TGAGGAGGAAGAAGAAGAAAGAGGAAATGATGGAGGAGGGTGAGGGCAGAAGGAAACGTTGAGGCATTTGGGCCGTAAAGGATTCTTAATGGAGCAGAATTTACACAACCTGCTGAGGTGAACAGATAAAAGGAAACGGCAGCGGTAAATGAACAAGCGTCCAATCTGCAGTAGTGAGCTGGTTAAAACTCTCACCACTTTATAGCATTCTCACCTCTTCCCTCTGAACACCATCCTACGGTCTCTGTTACTTAGTCATCAATAAAACAGCATTCATGTGCTAACTAAAAAGCAGCAAACAACCTAACAAAATGCCTGTCGATATTCTCTGACGTTGCGCTGAGCATTCATTCAAGGAAGAGTCCCTGACAGAACACAGCAGTGCTTTTGAGAAAATATAAAAGGGGATTTGTGTTGTGTAGGTAAAAATTAAAAAAAAAAAATCATAGAACAGCAGACCATTCTGTTTCCTGTTTTCAGTAGATTAGCATGCTCAACTTGCAAGAGTAGACAGCAGGAGCACATTCAATCAACCAGCTGCTTGGGCTAAATGACTTTAATAATGTCAGAAAGGCAATTCAACTTTAATGAAAAGACGGAAGACGCATTTTGTGTACATCACAAAAGGTTGTGTGAAGATCAATTAACCATAACTGTATGGATATTTCAAAGGCTCTTTCAGCAAACTGTCAGTGGAGAGGTTATGGAGAACATTAGGCCACGAGGTCTGTTGTGGGTATCTCACTTCACATCTATAAATAAGGCAGCTTTAGGCTCAAGCTTTCACAAACAGACACCATCAGTGATTCTTGTGCCATTAAAGGTTAGGATGAGAAGGTTCAAGCACGCAACAAAAATGGAAGGCTTTGCCTGGGAAAACATTTAACCAGTGTGGAAACGCTCGGCAAATCCTGGGCATTTAGACCATGTCCGATTTCTTTAAAGGTATAAATAATGCATCAATAAAAGCTGCAAAAGATTTGCAAGCACTGAGATGATGCACTGATGCATTCAATTATTGCAGCAGTTAAAGTTAACACTGGAATAGCAGTTAGGCAGTTAAGACATCATGAAGAGGAAACAGTGATTTAGAGTGTGTTGCTGTTGCACGAGGTGGAGCGACTTACTGTACAGGAGATTGATATAAAACGGAATTATCAGTATCAATGCAGTCGCGGCTGAGATATCATGAGTTTTAGTTTCTGTTATGGATCCTACACTTTTCATGGTGAAACTCAATATCATTCTTCTGTCAGCGCCTCACTCAGTGGCAAGTGTTTGTAATATTCTGGAAGGACGGGAGGATGGACCATCACATCCCGTGGTGGTCCATCCTGGTACTAACTTTGGGATCCTGAAAAGAGAACAACAGGGACCCGAGAATGTTATTTCCTTACTCTTGAAAAATAAAATAAATCCAACCAACTAGCATTTAATTCAAAACGCTGCAAGGCGAGGAAGGATGCAATCAACTGTCTAGATGTCTGCTTCTGATCCGAGGAAGTAAAAGCCACTGAATGACAATCAAACCTCACAGAGACACAGAGGGGCCCCTTGCCTTGGTATGTTTGCCTTCGGCCCCTTAAATTGCTAAATCCACCACTGATGATATCATATGACGAACAACGTCACACTGTAAGTTTCGCAGCTTCGGCAGATCTACAGTCACTTAAAAAAACAAATCCTGGCCCTGTTTTTATGGAACGATAAAAGCTCATCAGGACAGATCAATCCATTCATGATGTATAAATCAACGTTAGCTCCGTCTCATGTATACAGAGGCTGTGGAGAGACATAGCTACATGATCTTTACTTCTTTCTCCATTTGCCTTTCATTAACACAGAGCTCACTATTACCAACTACTTTTAAACAGAGGATGCAGCATGGTTTCACTGATGGTGCTCTAATTCTACCTGCAGTCTGAAAGCTCTACATAGTCCACATATAATTTTGCCTTACATCTCTGCTCCACCTCTATGAGACATAAATAATATATGAACGGTATATTTTCACCCTCTTTAGAACTAATCAATCTATGCGACTGCTCAGTGCACCATCTTGACTTTCTTCTGCTCATGCACTGTTACTGTACATTGAGGCAGTGATCAAGAGGAACGCTACACTGAAGCAGAGGTTCACATGGACCAATGACAGTCAAAGCCAGGGAACCTCACGCCATACGGTTGTTGGTGATATTTGGCACTGTGTTCTATGCACCTGCCTGTGGCCCACGTGGCTCCATGGCCTTACGACACCTCCTAAGACAGATTGCTGAAGGCACACCAGCCGACCACATATGATCATGTATATGTATGACTGACTATGGAGAAAAGGGAGGAGGGGTTAAAGGTGAAGGGAAACACTGAAACCAATTCTTCTTACTGCTGTCAGTCATCTGCTGTTTTAAGATGGAAAGATTTCTTAAATACAGAAAGACAGTGTGGGTTGAAGAGCTCAAATTTCTATCTATTAATGATTATCCAACAAGGCAAAGGACATAATTATAGGACTAATTTTTAGATTGGCGAAAATTACCTCTTCCCACTTTAGCTGGCTAGCTGCTCATTTTCTGAGTAATGGCGGCAAATATTGTAGAAAACTAATAATAATGATATTGGTAAAAACCATCTCTGACCAGCAGACCAACTCTCCTGCTCACATTTACGTCAGCCGAGACAAAGAGACGGGTTCCAAGGGTGATGAGGAGGTCGAGCTTTTACGGCTGAGGAGACTGTAACGAGACAAGAGGTAGTTAACATTTCAACTGGTCCATGCATCATTTTAACCAGAGCCTAGGGTGTATACATGAAGCACGGGTGTGTCCAGGCAACCAACCAGGATGGTAAGCAGAGGAATTCCTAATGGTTGAAGGGTTTCTGGGAACTCTTTTGTCTCTTAACAAGTGCTGACCCTGTTTTCCTGGTAATATGGAAAACCAAGCTTTTAACTCTATTCACCTCAATAGTGCCAAGTTTCCAAGTGCAGAGAAGAGGCAAGGGCAGGAGAAGACGGGAGAGCAGAGGAAAGAGGAGAAAAGGGGAGAAACACTGATTGCTGATTTAGCAAAGAGCCATTAAACTTTCAGTTTGGCGTTTGAAGAAGTACTGTATCCAAAGGAGACAGCTGACAAAGGTCAGAGGAAAAAAAAACTTTATTTAGTAGAGAAGTGTGTCTCTGTGAGGGCCCAGCTGTGACAGCAATAAGGAGGGTTGAGGAGTGTAGTGGGACCTAAGTGGGTGCCCACAGAGAGAAACTATTTTGAAGAGCTACCTCACCACTTTTCCAACACACACCTGCAAGAGAAGCACTTTGAAACGTTGCATCTGTTCCTTCATCCCTAGTTACAATTTGGGACTAATTAAAGGAACCGAGGAAGTTAACACAGCACTGCACACGGCAGTGCACGGCTCAATTAAATTACAATAGATCAACGATGCTGTAATGGAGCTTCACTGCACAATGAATTCGACTCACACGTGGTGCAGCTTTCAGCAATGTGGGCGCGCAACATGCCATTAATGAAAACAAATATACACACCTCAGGGTAATACTGATTCGTAGGAATTATGTACTCCGTCGGGCATATGTGCACCCTAGATATTTCGAGTCAAAGTGCAGTACATTTTAGTACAGCGTGTAAACATCAAAGAAGGTGAGATGATTGTACAGGCCATCATAGCAGCAGCTCACTTCCAAAGTCAGTCGTGCTACATCTGTGAGGCCGTGGCATCTGAAACATGACCTGGGCACTCCCCAAGTGGCAGACCTGCCGTCCATCCAGTAATGTCACCAGCAACCAACCAGGCAAAGCCATGACTCCTAATGAGAAACATCCAGTGTGGAGGCGTTTGAATGTGGGCCTCTGTGTGTATGTGTGTGACAAAGACATGACTGTTGTCCCATGGGATGTAAAAGGGGGAAGACAGCCAAATGGGAGAAGTGAAAGTGGTTGAAGCTCATGTTAGCTGCCCTGCAGCCGCTGGTGTATGAAGAACACACATGAGAGTCATGTCCCTGAGGTGGGATTTCCCTCAGTTATAAACATATGATGGCATTGGCAGGGGGACAGCTGTGCTATTCTAAACAACGACATGGAAAGCACAGGCCGGGCTGAGGAGCTTCCACACATAATACTCTGTCCACTGCTGGAGGACAGCTGCTGGTGCACAACTGTCCCAGCTTTCACTTTAAAGAGATGGAAACACAGTCAGGCAGAAGTCAGCATGAACTAAGTGACCTATCACGCAACGCATTTGTGGCTAAATTAGTTTGATTTACTTTGAAACTGATACGTGTAAATAAAACGACGCACAGTTGGAATTTTATGTCCCAGTTCCTCTCATGTCCTGGTCTGTCAGTCTCCCAGAGGGGAGCAGGCACCAGTGACCTCATGCTTTTCCAATGTTTACATGATGTATACATTAGAGTATATAGTGTATGGGACAGAGATGGTTTAAAGTCCTGTCTGAACTCTAGAAAGTGCAGAGGCAGCGGCAAAGTCGCTCTACTCAGAGACGCAGGTTTGGGGCAGGGGGTATAGTTGGTGAGTTTTTTACCCTCAGAAATTCACACACTGCGTTTAGAAAAGTCGGGTCAACGACTTACATGTGGCCTTTAAAATACAACTTCAACACATGGATCATAGTTTGATGGTTTGGTTAAGAGAAACATATATATATATATATATATAAATACAGATATCCTTTATATTACATTTAATTCAATATTCCAGGTTCCTTTTACCAAAGTGAGGAGTTTTTGAAGGCTACACCCGGTGATGACATGATGTGTGGCACAGGATGGCGCTAATTGCAACATAAGCAAACTCTGCTGGTTTCAGGAAATGTATCAAATGTCTGCTGCTGTGAACTGATCCAAATTAGTACGGAGGTCTAAATGAAACATTGACTCATTTAAATAACTTAATTAGACATTTGGAAGTGTTTGCCTTCAGTATTATGCATAATGACTGTGGTGATGTTGACGGCAGTAAACTTACATGAAGGCATGGTAGATGAACGCACATCCTCTTGGTCTCTCCAGCACGTTGTACATGGAGTTTTGCAACCTTCTGTAGCGTTTGTTGGACACGGAGGTGCTGCCCCGGGGTCCCGGGGGCCCCGGGAGCGGGTTGCCCAGCAGCCCGGTGCGGTTGGACGGGTGTCCGCGCTCTGGGGTGGACGGCTCGCTCCTCTCCGTGTGGACAGCAGTGAGAGCCACGAACTCGACCCCCCGGTCGTCGTTTGGAGCCGTGGGCGTCAGCATTCTAATGCCGCCGTTATTGGACGGACTTCCTAACATCTCCGATCGGACACGTTTTAAAAACTACATAAGACCTGACACTGTGTAATGGACCTTCAGCAGCGGCGCAGAGCAAAGTTTAGGCCAAGTCATAGTCCGAAGTGCCCTGGCTTAAAGAGAATTTTAAAAGTACCTCCTTCGGCTTCAGAACCCACGCCTGAGTATCATCTCTGTGTGGTTCCGGGAACAAAATCAGAGTTATCTGTGAATCAAATCGCAGCTGCAGAAGAGAAGATGCACAATAGTTGAAGAAGTGAGGCGCGCAGAAACATGACCTTCAGCGATCATTGTTAGGAATCAGATAAGAGCAGTAAATGAACGGGCTGAAGTAATTACACAACTCCAGGAGAAACATTAACACGAGCGGCTAAGAACCTGCCATCAGTGTGATGACAGCGCGGAGCAGCGTCAATCAAGTAAACATTCTACTGCGATACTTTAAACACGCGCCTACTAGTCACTAAACAAGACCATGAAGTAGGCGGATCTAAGCCAAGTCCTGATTTGCTCCGTTTAGTTCTGCTCTTAACTGTTTTCTCTAGTTTTGAGGGGCAGATCGAGTCTCTCCACCGCCGCTAACATCAGTCTACTCTCCCATCCTGTGGTGCGTGTGTTGGGTCCAGGCAGCGCTCCTGCGCTCCGACGGGCAGGCGGGGCGCAGCGCACAAGTGCACACCATCAGCACTGTGATGTCAGGGAATCACAGCCTCCTCCGAAAAGTGTACAGAACAGCCAGAAGAAGTCGTGCGGTATCTGCATCTGCTTTCCCAGCGCTTTGTAGACACGGAAAGCTCCGTTCTCTGCGGTCAGCTGGAAGAGGGAACCAGGCAAAAGGAGAAGAGTCGGCGCGGAGTAGAAGTAATGAAGGACAGGATGAAGGCAGCAAAGACGAGATGAAATGTTTTGCTTTTTGTTTCTTTTTAAATAAAGTTGACATAGTATAATGACAGAAATAAACTTTATGTATTTACTATTATTATTATTATTCATATTATCATCACCATATGCAATTACAAAAATAATATTCTTAATAATAATTTGTTTAGTAATTATCATAATTGACTTTGTCCCTCTAGTAACTGGTATAGTTTTAAAGTTAACCAATTTTTTCGAGTATATTTTTAACTGTGTTGTGATCTGAACTTTTTGTTTTACAAACACTGAAGTTAAAGCTGAAGCCTCCGATGAAAGCATCATAGGAAAAAAAAAAACATTTCTTATTTTAAAATAAAACAAGGACTTGATGATCACAAGACACAAAAAGTATTCTTGAAAAAATAATCACAATAAGTAGTATTACCAAGAATTCTAAAACTGAACTGAGAATCACACACGACAGAATATAATTATCTCCATAAGTACAAAAACTAACAAAGACTATTCATTCTAGGAGTGTGTAATTTGGTTAGATTAGACAACAGTGAAAGAGACTGAACTATAACCGAAAGAACATAGTCCTCAGTGTGAGACAGAGGTGAAAATTTAATGAAAATAAAGTGATTCTTCACAGCATCCAGACTGGGACAAAAAAGAGTTTTTTACCAGACGACTAAGAATTCAGTTACAAAGTGTGTCTGTAGTATTTCCTTCTTAAATACACACAACCTGCCGCCTGCTTCAGATCTGTGGAAAAAATGTCCCCAGACATTCTACACAAATCCCAGACTTTAATCTCATACAAAACTATAGGTCAAGGTCCAGACAGAGGACCTGAAGTCTGTGGGATCTGGAGTGGTTCACTACAAAAGAACAGTAGGTGGTACCTTGGGAGACATGCATCCTGCTCTCCAGCAAAAAGAGTCTACAAATATAGAAATATTTCTGTTACTGTATGCAAAATATCAGTAATGCACATGTCCTAAATAAGGTGCTGCGTTCTGCCGTCTGTATGTAGCACTTGGTAAATGTCTTGAATAAAACCGCATCTCCTCAAGAGGGCTATCTATTTTGTCCACAACTGTTTTTACACCAGTCATAGTGACACTTGTGTTCATGGTGAGACAGGGTTTGAAGCCAAGGGCGTGGGAGAGCAGAGACAGGTGTCAGGGACCCAGCAACAACCATCAGCTCTGCCTCCACCTCCTCCTCCACCGCCTCCTCCTCCTCACTTATATATATATTCTAAATCTATTGCTGTGACACATCACGGGCCTGTGGTCATGACACACACTGTGGTTATGGAGCACGCAGGCCTGTGCCGACATCACCTGTCCACCTCTGGGTCGTCCAACCCGAGAAAAAATGATCAGTATAAAATGATGGGAATAAAATCAGTGACTGACTAAATGATTGTGTCTGCTGACAGAGGCAGTTGAAACATTTAAAAAGTTTGGAGTGGCTCCAGAAATAATGAAATATTGCTCCTCTCTGTTTTCCTGGTATCTGCACACATATACAAAAGTATGCGTAAGTGTATGCAACTGCTATAGTCTGGAGCAAAATGAATATTGCTGTCAGCACTAAACAAAGAACGCTAACCTCAGCGTAGCTCAGACATTTTACAGTGCTGCGCGACGACAGCGGTGGCAGGTTACTCATGAGGTTCTGTCCACTGCGGCTGCTAGTCAGCGGGACATACAGGTCTGCGAAATGACGTGGGAATGCAACTGGAGTCTCTCACACGAGTCACAAATCTGGATCTTATTCCCTGTCCAGGCCAACTTCCATTACATCACTTAACATTAATCCTTTTCTCTTTACTTAGCATCAAACATAAAGTATGGACGGACTGATTTACTACCAGGTATAAAACTGAATCAAACGGACAGCTGGGCTCTGGACGGCAGTGTGGTGATGCACATGCTGGATGGGTTAATGTCACGCTGTGATATAAAGTGAGAGAACATGGATTTGTTCTCTCATGTTAAAAGAAAGAACAAAATTGCTTGACAATTAAAGCTCAATGTATTGTTGGATATTTTAAAGGGATTCTAATTCATTTGTCTGAAGGGCATTTAACCTGCTTCATCTTTGTGTAATATGCCATTTGTCTCTCTTTATGTTACAAAATGATTAAGCAGTTGTCAGTCAGTCTGCAGGAAGACACTGTTTTACCAGATATATGTCACCTGTCAGTCAGAAAGTGAAATACTTTTATTATTACTTTTATAATACATTTTTATTTTCACACTTTGTCAGAGATCAGCATGTTGTACCCGGAGCCTCACTCCGTGCCTTTGGCTTCTGTTTCCTCTGACATACAGAGAATGGACGGGTGAATGGACGGATCTTTATAACTGATATCACTATAATCAAATTAATTATTTTACACACAATGGCAGTAATAAAGATGCTTCATCGACTGTGGTGATAGGATTTATTGATGGACAAAAATGGTTACATAAGTGGGTCAGCTTAAAAGTTAGGGTTATGTGTCCATACACACACACATAGGGCAGAACTAACTAGACATAAATGACAGGAAGATAAAGGAAGGGGTGGTCTAATTTGGGAAGGTCATCCAGGGGACCCTAATCGCTCCATGTTGAAAGGAGGAGGTTACAAACTAAACATCAACACAGCATCATCCTGTACTGGGAATCTCCCACTCTGACCCCCTCTTCTGTTAGTGGGGTTTCCATTCCTTCTTACTCCTCCTCCTCTCCTAGTTACTTTTGCCTCTCCTTCTTTGCACCCCTCAGTGGCCCAAACCAAGTCAGGCGGCGACAAAGGCCGATGGTGATGATGGATATGTTGGCTCTCTTCATCCCCTCAGAGATTTACATCAAAGTTCCTCCGAAGCAGAGCCACACTCCCCCCCCCCCCCCCCC